CACGTATCTTCTGTTACTACCCTCAGGGGCTGAGCTGTGAACATGTGTGTTTGTCAGTGCGTAAGTGATGGGTGAGTGAGTGAGGAAGGGAAACAGTAAGTGAGTGAGTACGGGAGGAAGTGAGGTACGGAAGAAGTGTGTGAATGAGTTTGCATGCAGTAAGGAGGACAAAACACAGAAGGACAGACAGAGGGGAGAGAAGAGAGAATGAAAATAAATGGCAGGCAGGTTTTAGGTGTCATGCACATAACATGTAAAAATGTTCACATATTGTGTTTGGGGATAGTCATGAGAGTGAAACCAAGCTAGACTAGAACGTTAAAAGAGACTTTTGTAAATGCTGCAGTTCCATCAAGCACATGAGCAGAAAATTATGGGAGATAAGTGAGGAGGGGGGGAGTGAAAAGTCAAAATAGAAACATGCTAGCGCTGTGTTTACCGTGGGGTATGTCAGGGGTGATGCCAACACTCTGCAGCAGAGCTTCTGCCTCCCTCCTCTTCCTCTCTAGATCAGAGTCTTCATGGCCACCAGAAGATCCACCGCCTGCCTCGACTCCACGTTTTGAGTCTCCCTACAGAGCACATACAACTTCAGTCTGACAGCATCTTACAATGGGGATAAAAACTGCTGCACTGCCTCACAGTTTTATTTCTGTGAAAACAGCTAGAAATTGAAATTATAGTTTCTATCGCATACATCCTTCTTTTTCTTCTCCTCTTCTTTTCTCTTCTTCTCCTCTCGAATCTGGGCGATCCGTTGTTTCTTCCGCTCCAGTTCAGCCTTCAGCTCACTCTTGTCAGACATACTGCAGGAGGGACAAGGTTGTTACTGAACAGTGAAGAGCCCTCACCTGAAACCTCAACAAATAACTTCATCCCTTGCTCCTGTTTCTATTCCTTTTTTTGGTGTTTTAAGTATGAGTTCATTCACTTTATTTACTCAGGAGCAACACTGACGGTAACCTTCAAATAAATGACTGCAAATAAATACTACACTTACAGAGTTTTAAGGAGGTCTAAACTAAAAGATATTTTCACTACGAATGAATTTGCCAGTTCAACCATTTCTGTACTCTGGTTTAACATGACCTCTGACCTTAATGTAAAGCAAGAGCCAGGGGAAAATGCACAAAGCTTCCTTAAAATATCACATTGTAATAACTGTTATCACTTTAATGTTACAATTGAGATCTATGTACAACATAGAAAAAACTATGAACCAGTCTTGTGCGAAGATGTTCTTTTATGCTGAGGCTAATGGTAAAACCACATAATATACACACACACACACACACACACACACACACATATATATATATATAAACACATACTTAAGGTGAAATTATGAATGAACTGATTAGTTGCATGACAGAAAATAAACAAAAACTATTTAGAAAACAACTTAAATGAAGCAAAACACAAAATCATTCCCAGTTTTTAGTCTTTCAAATGCAAATGTTTCCTGTTGTATTATCACACATTGTAATAAACTAAAAATCTTTGAGTTTTAAACTGTTTGCTGGATAAAGGAAGCAAAGCTTTATCATAGAAGGTCTTTTTTTTTTTTTTTTTTTAATGTTGTTTTAAACATGTAGAATCACATCATTTGTTTTGACATTTTTAACAGGGCTGTCGCGATTAGTCCACATTATCTGACCTTGGGGCTGAAAATGTGTTTAATTCAATTCATTGAACATATTGTATTTATTTATTGTAATTTACTTGACTTTTTGCAGAAAACAGACCCAAAACCAAAAGGTGAATCTGGTCACACATATGCCTGCATGATAAGTGAGTTCTTGCAATGTTTTTTTGTGTTATTTTGTTCCTATTTTGATGGTCATTTCTTGGAAAATTATTTTTAAAAAAGAAAAGAAAAGAACCCATAAACCCAGAAAGGCCTGCACAAAATGACACAATTGCTCCTAATCACTACATTTACAGAGACAAGGGGTTTGCTCAGAACAAAAAAAAAACATACTATTATGTGTAGTGCGAGTTATCTGTAGTTACATACAAATATCTCATAATTCTCTTCTTAGTTTTTTTCTCCCTCTTTTAACAACTGTTACAGTGAAATGAAATGAAAAAAGAACAGCTATGCTTGAAAGCGTACGATCAATAATTGTTCAAAATGTGTGTGTATGTGTTGTTGTTGGGGGGGTTGTATTTTTCTTTCATTGAAGTATTAATAATTTTTTTTTTTAAGTTTTGTTTTGTTTTTCTCAGATTCACTGTGTCATTTTTGTGTCAGCCCCAGTCACTGATCAGGTAGGGTCAGAAATAAACTTTAAGACACAGGGAGCCACAGCAGAGCCACACCTGGTTAAATGCAAAAGCTTCCAGGTGCAAAAGTATGCCAGTGACATGTCAGTGGAATCAATAAACATTAGCTGTGCAATTATTTCTGACCTAGAAACAGCTCTTTTCAGTCTGTAAACTTCCCATATCAGTGCTGCACTTTTGCTGTTTGAACTTGTGCAGAATCACACAGTAGGTAGCCGTGGGCCTGTCACACTGGAAACATGTGAACAGCAGCCAGCTATTCATAACAATGTCCTCTTTATCTGTTTTCTCCGTTATGTCACAGATGCTGTATTACTGCACGTATATGCTGAATAGACGCTATAAGGAGAAGAGGCAACTATAACTCCTTCAACTGTAAGTTATCCTACAAATAAATACGATTAGACTTAGAAATCTAAAAAAGTCATAGCAAGCAGCGTTTTAATAATAGTATATCTAATAATAAAACACACAAACTGAGGCAATAATTCTGCTATTGGTTTCGTGGGTGTCCACAACCGAGATGCCCAACACCTCTCCACCCACTGTCATAACAACTGCAGACAAAAAAATTAAAAAATAAAACTAGCTACCGTGCTCATTTCAACATCACTAATCGCTAGCTCGGTTTACTCTACAACGCGCTATTGTTTTCTGTGCAGCTCGGGATTTGTCAAACGTGTTTATAATCTAATTAGCGGCTCCACTCAGGTCCGACAGCTAGCTTAGCGTTAGCATGCTAATCTCCATGGCAGCCGGCGGGCCTACAATAACTGACTAACGGTAGCATCGCAAACCAACGCCCGAGCGCTCCTGCTTCGTGTCCGCAAACAAGCGAGAAAGCCACGCAGTTTAATAAATGTAGAATTAAATACCTGCTGATAGAAGTTAGATTTAAAGTAGTCAGCTGACAAAAGAATCCACTTTCGTGAACCTTAATGCCGAAGACAGATGATGGGGAGGGGGGGACTGATGATGCTGGAAGAGACAGGAGTTTGCGGCGCTCTTCTTCTTCGGTGGTTGGCCACAACACCAGCGAAGAAGAAGAGCGTTACCGCACCCTGCTGGAGGACTTACACTGACCTTCTCGGGATTTAATGTGTACCCTGAATTGTGAAGAAGTGAAAATGAAATACTGATATAATACTATATAAATATATTTTAATATATTAAGCAGATCGTTGTAGGTCAAATAGCCGATATTTAAATATCTAATTTAATATCTAAATTAATAACTGTACTGATTTGCACCTTACTTATGCAGTTATTGATATTTTTCTACCTACTTGTTTCTGTATATTCTGTGTATAGTCTGTTTATATGCTGCTGGTTGCTTGAATTTCCCTCGGAATTTATAAAGTATGAAAAGAAAGAAAGAAAAGAAAGAAATAGAAATAGTTTTATCATTTGCTTATGCGGACATGACATAGAAGTACATGATAGTTCATACATCATACAATAAGCTTTTTTATGTAATCCTTGGTTGATTTAAAATCTGGAATGGTTTCTAAAGTTATGCCATTTTATTGTTTATAAAGCTCATAAAATAACTAAAATTTAACGTACATGATATCTAAGACACTTGTGTCAAAAGGATCCTTGTTCTTATATGCTGTCCATTTAGCCTGTTGTCTCTTTGTTCTCGCTGCAGGTCTTGGGTCAGCCTTGCATTGTGCAGCAGCTTGTACCACTTGTTTTCAGAACTCTTCAAAGTAGGTTTCATCTCACACAGCTTTAACTAAAATCACAGCTAAATCTAAGTCTCACACTTTAAATAATACATTTTTAAAAAGATTAATTATTTATCTATATTAAAAAAACATTACCTATACATTTTTCATTGTCAATAACATGAAAACTTTGATCAGTGTGAACATTTTCTGGTTGCACAGAACTACTTGGTTGTATGTGGTTGAACAGGGGGTTGTTTGTGCTGGTAAATGCATCTGTAAGGGAACAACAACCAAAGAAATGGCTTCAAAAAGGTTCTGCCAGAAAAATAGGAGCTCTCAGATGCAGATCCAGTTCTGTGAGTGTGTGTGCAGCCCTTTAACAGGCTTCATTATTGATGGTGTGTGGTGGCAGGCTTAGTCTAATGTGTCCTGGCCGCACCAGGCCACTGCTTAGCTCCCCCTTGGAGTCAAATGAATAATGAATTCTGAACAACAATATTAATGTCAGTTGCATTATCACGTTCTAAATACATTGTGCCATATCAGTTTCTTGATATAATGTGCAATATTTCATTATCATGTGCAATATTTCATTTCCATGGGGAATATTACTTTACTACCTCAGGACTATTGCTGGTATTGCGTCTTACTTTTCTATTTTTGTTCTGTATATCTATACTTTTATCTTATTGCTTTTTTGTTAGACACTGCACTTTTGGGTTTTTTTCAAAGCAACATCTGGCACAAAATGTACCTCTGTATTAATAATATCTTCTTTCATATTTTATTATACTAGTGCTGGATTAGTATAACCAAAATTTTAAAATAAATAATAATAATAATAATAATAATAAGAAGAATAATAGCAGGCTAATGAGGCATCTTTCCTTGTTTGTTTTCAAACTTAACACAACACAAACAAAAACAAATGTAAGATTAGACCGATTTATTAACATGTGTCAGCCAGTTTTTATTCATTTTTATTGTTTTATTTCATAATTGTACATCGCTCATGCATACAGAATATACATACAGTAAAGGCATAGTGTAGTTTTTCTTTTGGAAAAACTAAGAGCATACGAGCCTTGTTAATGTGTCCACCATGTAAAATGTAGTGATTTGCATCATTTTAATTCTACTCCCACAGTTCTGCTTTGGTTTTATCTTGATATTTAGTTTTGTAGTCTTGCCTTGAAGAGAAGGCTACAATTTCTTCCTCACTTTGTTTTTACTCTGGTTCAGGAGCTGGATCGGCGTAACGAAAGGGGTCATAGAGGTCACGTGTGAAATCATAAGGATCAAAGTAAGGGCTGGCAGGTTTCTCAGTAGCTGCTGCCTCAGGGGCACCTTCCTCTGGTTTTTCTTCTTCCTCTTTCACCACTTCTTTCTCCTCAGCAGGTGCCTCTGGAGCAGGTATTTCCAGGATGGGGCGGGGAGGGTGGTCGATGAGGCAGTCAGGGTCCCAGTATGGATCGCAGTCATACTCCATGCCTTTGACAGTGATCGCAGGAGGGGGAGGGGGCTCAGACTTTTTGGGAGCAGGAGGGGCTGGGGGTAGCTTGGGTGGAGCAGCAGCTTTTATCTCCTCCTCTGTTTGAGGCCTGCAGGAGGGGTTGTGTCTCGGGTCACACAGCACTGGAACAGCCCCTGTTGGCAGGTAGACGATCTGAGGTTTGCACAGCGGGTCTTTGGGGTTACACAGATAGATCCTTTGAGCATTCTCCAGAGGGTCTGGTGTAGGAGCTGGGGTGGTGGGAGGTGGGGGAGGCTCGGTGGTAGTGGTTGGCGCTGCAGTGGTTGTCAGTACACCCATGGCGTTTTGGTAACTGGAGGCGTCTGGGCCGTAGGTCAGCTCCAAGTGACGCATCTGCTGATACAGCATCCTGATCCTGTCGATCTCATAGAGCTGAAACCCAGAGACACGTTAGAGAGGAAATGAAAACTTTAGCTGAATCACACACATATGGAGGAGGAAATATTCAACTTACTCCTTCAATGTGCCCAATGCTGTTGTAGAAGCGATAGTAGGACTGAAAATCCGGGTTGCCTCTGTACCATTTTGGCTCAATGTTCCTCTTAGGCCGAGAATTAGTCAAGAAATCATGTGCTTTAGCAGAATTGATGCTGACTGAATTTCCTGTGGAAGAACAAGGGAGCAAAAAATCAACTTTGATTTAGATTTCAAATGGAGAAGTTTGCCGTTTCTAAGAAATGCTTGTTGAAACATAACGATGACATTATTGAACATTATATAAATCTTTTTGGAGTGTGACTTAGAAATATCAAAATATTCTGTCACTTTATAGAAAGTTGCTGTTAGCTGTAATAAAGTCTGAATCAGAATATTTACATTTTAAAGTCTGAAATTCATTTACTTTGGTAAAAATATAAATCAGAGTTTGAATAATACCCATGTATCCATCTGTTAGTTTTAAAAAAAAATCCCAAATATAATCAAAAAATAACAATTTCTTTCCATTTAACAATCAGATTACAATCTGCATGAAGGTTGATGATTTATTACCTTCAGGATTCTTTACTTTCATCAAAGATGTTGCTTCTAGCAAACCTAGAGGGAGTCAGAGGGTGTATTAGACATACAGCACCAACAACACACTGGAACACTTCACTCTGTAAAGTATGAAGCTACAGTAAGAATTCCAAATGTGGCTGTGTGAATTGTGTTATCAAGATTTTCTGTTATTACACATTTAGCATGCAGTAATAAAAAAGCTTATTTCATTTTTCATGTTTCCTATGATCAGTGAAAAAAAGAAAAAATTGACCACGTCGTTCACTAATGAGTTCAAAGTTTCATATGGCAGGGTGTGAAGTCTTTAATGAAGGTCAGATGTTATTAATTGCAGCTATTTTCCTTTGACAAACCTGTCGTTAATAGCAGGCAGCAAATGGCCCTCAACAGGGACGCTTGGGAAATCATGCTCGACATCTGCAATGACAACATCACACACATATATAAAGATTATGGTAGTTTTGCAGTCTGTCTTGCATCACTGCTAATATTCACAAAACATATTAAACTTACACACATGAAAAATACTGAAAGCATAATTAAAAAGGTACACAACAAAGTGTCCCATTTTGAAAAGCTGCCTCGTTGTAAATGGAAACCTCAGCTGATATTGTTTTTGCACAATATTCTCAGTTTCTTGTGAAGCTACTACTCGACCTCATTTTTTATAATTATGTTGGTGGTGCTATTTTTATTTCCCAATCTTCATTATCTTTACACATTATCTGATTCATTTCAAACATACAATATTGCACAGTAACTCTTTCTGTCATGCAGCTGACAATAAAAATAAATGCCACAAAGTAAAGTTTTCATTATTCGAACAGATCTACTGTAAAACTTGAAATGGATTGAAAAAAACCTAAACCTGCTCACCTGCTGTTGCATCTCCCCAGTCCTGGTCTAATCTGCTGCTCAACGTAACTGTTCATAAGTACTGCTTTGAGTAACGGGGCCTTTCGATTGGTCAGCGAACTGCGAGTAGGCCCAACTCCACCCCTCGTGCATCTTGTCTTGAGACGTGGAGGAGCTCATTAGCACGCCGAGCATGAACCAGCAGTAAAAGACCGACTTCAAACGAAACGTGTCTCCTCGTAAAGCCACAAGAAACAGTCCTGTAACAGCAGGACATCCACTGGGTGCACGGGCAGTCCGGTTCCTCGGCTCTAACTACAGGGGGTCGCTGTCTAGAGTGAAGCAATCACTCATGATAGAGTTCATGCTCACAAATTAAGATAGTTTTCTTAAATACATACCCTCCAAACATAGATGTTTCGCTTGCTTTATGGTGCAAATATGCAAAATATAGAGACATGCACCGTGCTACTGTAGGCTGATTCTTGACAAAACATGCCTGGCAGGCAAAAATTAACCCTCTGCCTCAGAACAGCTGGATATGTCCTTTTAACTTTGGTCTTGTCCAGTCAAAAAAATAGAGGGGGAGACGAGTCAACTGCTGTTTAAGTCCCCCGAGAAATATGCAGGAATTATGGGCTAGCTTGTCCAAGCACCAAAACAGTGCAAACATCCTGGGAAATGTTGTTTAGCGATCTCAGAAACTCTCCTTAATAAACAAATATCTGAAAGACATGAGGTAGAATCCGCATAAAAATTATAAAGAGGAGATCAGGATAGAGGTTGTGAATATACAACATTTTGTCTCCTTACTGTCAAATTTAGAGACCAAATGTTGTCAGGACGCAGATGCTCACAATAAAACACTATTTGCAGGCTCTTTTTCTACTATCTACTGCTATCAGATCAACATACAAGTGTAGGATCAAGTGGGAAAAGACCTGAGTAGTGTGAGACGGGGCCTGTGTGAAACCACATCTTATAAGATCTGCCATACAATTCAAAAACAGGCTGCATTAAGGATTAGTGACGGTGGCACAAAAAGAGTAGACATGATAGAAGAGCATGATGACGACAGGTATTTGTGTCACAAACTGCTGTCTATGACTTGTTGTGTGCCTGTGCGTGTATGTACAAGCCCAATTTGACTAGCGTTTGCTTCACCGCAGCCTTCGTGCCCGCTTTTAAACTTTTCCACGTTTTTCATTTTGCTCAGTGCTTGTCAGCGTGCTCACTTTATCATTTTTGCAGTGAAGCAAATTCTGTCCCTCAAACCAGCAGGTGAGACCGCGATCAAAGAGCGCGAGGGGGAGACGGTTAGTCTGAGGGCTTCTGCCAGGTGGCTAATGCTGAACATCATACTGTAATTGCTCTGTGTACATGACAAAAATGGAAGGGTAAGGGTACCTGTTACTCTTAAATGATATACATTTATTTTACCTGAACACCAAGAAAAACAGTCTTTTTAAATAAATCAGTCTGTTTTACAGAAGGTATGAGTTGGAGAAAAAAATGCACATAATGCCTTCAAGGAACTGACTTTTTTTTACTTTATTTTGCAGCCTCGGTCAAGTAATGTGTTTATACTACTTTAGTGAAGCAGCAACATTGAATAGCTCACAGAATGACAGATTTAGTCTTCTAAACACTACTGTGTTACATAGCAGCAGGTGTGTTCAATAAACTGCCACGTATTTACAATTTAGTATCTAATAATGGAAACAGCAGGTTCACAATGTTGAATGAGTTCTTAAGTTAATCATTGATTTTCTTATCATGAAAATAATCCGATTATTTTATGATGCCGGTAAAGGAGTTAAAGACCGATAAAGCTAATAAAGCTCACGTACCTTAAATTAATCAGTATTTGGCTTGTGGTGAAAATGATAACACAAATATCTTATTTTATGATGCAGGTAAAAGACTTAAAGACTGATTAACCTGACGTAGCATAGCTTTAATTTCAAGTCAGACTTTCAGTGTACAGCAGCTTTCGTTGCACAACTTTACCACCACCTTCAAGGTATCAATTATCGTAACGTATACCCCTCTGATCTTCAAGTGAAATTACACCTTGTCCCAGAGCTCTCTGCAGGACACAAGAAGATCCACCGCAGACCAGTGTTTCCAACCCATTCCTAAAGCTCAGCAAGAACATACTCTCTTTCCCTGACACCGAGTTTTGATTCTGATCACCATGCTGCACATTTATCTGCAGGATTACTGCTGTCATGTAGCACAGCAGATATTTGGATACAACTTTTCTCTTGGTCTCCGCAGAAGGAAATCTGCAATTGTTAAAGAAAATCAAATGTGATCTTCCGCTGACGACCCACACGGTCCACCTTCACACAGCCCACATGCAGCAAAAAAATTGCTGTTAAGATATAGTTGCCAGAGCAGGACTGAGCCATAATACAGTTTCATCTCTGCTGATATTATTACCTCAGCTGGCCCCAAGTTGGTCTTATAGACCCAAACAAGCACTAGAACCAGATGTCAACCTTTATTAAACCTGAGCCACATGTCAACCGCAGGCTCCACGTAAAGCTGCCTCACCAATGGTGGTCTTTCTAGAAGTATTTACATACACAAGATATATTACACACATACCAAATGTTGTACTAGTTGAAAATTGTTGCTAATGTGTACCAGATTACTTATAATCTACAAAGCAGTTCTGTAAAATAAAAGTCAAAATTATCGTCTCAGCATGAAAAGCACACACGTGATCCATGACATGAATCTTGTCTGTATTCTGTTTAGTTGTTTGAGTTTCCAGGTTCTGCTATTGAGAATTTTGACCCACTTTCAACACTAGCAAGTTGTGTTTTTGTACTGTGACAGTCAGAAACTTGTTCCTCCAGGTGGTGTGACCAGTAACATGTGTCTGCAGCAGAGGGGGCTGCAGTTTCAGGACCCTCGTTTGTTGCGTCAGCACCAACTACCAAACTGGAAGACTGCAAAAGCGTGCGACTTTTAAGCATATTTCTCAATCAAAATACAACTTAAATGGTTTGATCTGGCCAAAAAAACAGCTGCTTGTTGAAGTAGCTTTAAAGGTTTATTCCACCCAAAATAGTAGTTTCTAATGACAGGGTTGTGGGTTTTAAAATTTATTCCACCCAAAATACTGCTTTCTTTCAAAGTACTTATAGTTTTAATGGTTTCTTCCACCCAAATAATACTTTTTAAAGAATGAGGTATGGACAAAACATGTCGCTACCATGTTGACTGATTTAGAAAACAATAATTGAAAAACAAGTGTCTTAGAAATGTGGTCAAACAAAGATTGAAGTAGTGCTATACTGCAAATGACATATATAGTGGTGGAAATGCATTAAGTGAAAAACCTTAATACAAACCAGAACTGGACTCAGAACACAGAGAGACTCCCGTGTTGAATAATGGGCAATGTTTTCATGAAATGATGTGCACACTTTTTAAATGACTTTTTAAATTTCATAGTGACTATCTCTGTGGACTGGGCATTTTAAAAACCCCTAGACCTGATGTTTAATAGCAGACTTGTGGTGGTGAATCCCCTGTCAGGTTGGTATACATTACATTAAAAGGCAGTTTTAACAGGAAAATAAAGCACAAACTAACTTTTTAAACACAGACATCATTGAGTTGCCTGCAGGGTGAAGTGAGCTCATTGTGATGTCGACGCGTTCTATTCCAGAATCACATGGAGACATTTATACACTTGACTCTGCTCAGAAATCTATCAGAACTCAGCAAACCAGAGGCGAAGCAGCAGCTCAAAACTGTGAAAGCTTTTGAAACAAAAGTCAAGATGAGTGATCAAAGCTGGCCTTCGCGCCACTTATACAAGCACCTTTTAAATGGAAAGTTCTGTGATGCAGTCATCAAGGTGGAGGATGTGGAGTTTAAAGTCCACAAAGTTATCCTGAGTCCCTGCACACCGTACTTTGAGTGAGTTGGTTATCAGGCATCAAGGGAGGAAAACTGATGTATTTTAGTAAATAATCAGATAAACATGGTTTTGTTGCTAATTAATGATCTGGAGCCTGAGAAACAACATTTAAACTTACTTAAGCTGAATCATGCAGCATCTGTGACTAAACAGGTTTCCCACAAAGAGCTGTGTAAAGCTGAAACAGATCATCAATCCCACATAATGGACATAAAAAGAAGAAAAAATCACATATTTCAGA